AGAGAGAGAGAGAGGTCCTACCCCAAAGCAAAGCAAAGAGAGAGGGAGAGAGAGAGAGAGAAAAAAAGAGAGAGAAAGAGAGAGAGAGAGAGAGGGAGAGAGAGGGACAGAGAGAGAAAGAGTGAGCGCAGGAGCGAGCGAGCGAGCATTCGCCTTATGCCCCTAGCAAAGCAAAGAGGGAGCGAGAGAGGCACACTCATGCTCTCTCGTGGCTAATGCATGCAACAGTAAAAGCAATTGGCATTGATGTTCGACCAACGAGTTCTTGTGCCGCTTCTCCCAGTAAGCTCAGAAGACTTTGTAGACCCGGTAGGCCCTCTGAAAACGGAATTTAAAAAAAATGCAACAAGGACTACCCTTTACCTGGCCACGACCGGTGGCTTCGACTGGGAGCGCGCACTCTCCCTGCTACTGAGCTGCGCTTGAGAAATTCCGTGGCGGCCAAGGGAGAGGTACCAGAGTTGCATGGGAGTGGCACTTGTCGCGTAATGATCTCGGGTACCAGGAAGCATCCTCTGATGTGAGAGAAGACCGGCCTATTCCCCCGAGTTGCATGTTCGTTTGCGTGCCCGTTTTCCAGCCCTCGCCATTCCTCAATCTGCCAAGGCTGAATCGTGTGGGCGTTGTTGGATCATGGGCTTGGCTCTTTTACATCGTGCCTGGGACCTGCATGGTGGTAATCGTCGTGTGAAGTGAGAGTGATCAAAAGCGGCTGTGATCGGCAAACGGTAGGCCAACAGAGGGACAACTAAAGAGCACTCCTTCGTCTCCAAGTTCTGCCGGTGACGCCTCTTACTGAAAATCGGCTCCTGCCTGCCCAAGGCAGGAGGAAGTAATGGTTCCGAAATCCAGCAAACAACGTGTGGAGCGATATGGAGCTTGAAAGCTTTTGCAGGGTAGACTGACGTTGACGCCCGCAGAAGCTCGGGTAGGATCCAACAAGGACATGAGTAAGATATATACTGAGTTAGGTATCCCCACAGAGCTCACAGGGAGACGGATCACCTGTCGGCCCGGTCATGCCTGGTCAGGGCGACAGATCCCGAGTTTCACTCAACCTACATGTACACACAGATCCCGACTTGAGCTGTACCAAACTCCAAGACGAGAAACCCCCCAACTCAAACCCCGAGGCGTTCTTCAACTTCGCGCTGTTCAATGCACCTCGACAATTCACAGACTAGGTTTTCAAAGCACATGAAAGCACTAGTTCCCCCTTTTCAGCTTATCATTGGAACATCCTAGATCCAATCCCCAAACCATTCCAAAACTCACATCCGGCTTGCAGTGGATGCAGCACGTCGTGCATGAAGCTCCACGTAAACCCAGTTCTGGAATTCGCACAACATGACTGAGGATCTCATCGTATGCATATCGGTTCACGAAGACCAGCTCGGCTTTAGAAACACACGGCACCTGTCGAAGGCGAGTAGCACGTGAACGACGCTACTGCTACAGGTACTTACAGGAATGTTTGTGGATCACGCGATGAAGTGGTCGCAGAGCGATAACCAGAAACTTGGCTGCAGACAGAGAGTCGGCATGCGCCGCAGATTCGGAGTTGTCAGCGTCGTGTCGGTGACTTTCAGGCCCAAGGAGGACCTTTCCTTCGGTGCTTGAGCTGATCTGCTCCGTACTCAAACCTGACCTTGATCCAAGTACGTGTGGACCTCATGCCTCCGGGCCCCGCCAATTCCAAAGTCCAAAGGTCTCAAGTTGCTAGTTCTCGAGCCCTGGCAGACTTCCGATTGCAGTGGCGAAGCCGGACCCTGCCGTCCCCATAACATTGTCGGATACAGCTCTTCTTGCAAAACTGAAGAATTTCTTCCGCCAAGCCTGAGAACATCGTTAGCTTGTCTTGGTGGTGTTCAGCGTCAACACTTCAGAAGATTTTATCGAGTCGCGGCAGGCCTGGAAGTCGGGACACATGATTTCGGGTGGAAATGCATGGTTGTGGATGTTTGTTGGTGCCGCTCTAGGGTTCAGTCGTCAGCACCTCTAGATTCAGGTTTGTTTGTGTCGTTTCATTCGATCGACACATTCTGATCACAGTGCCTCAAAGAATTGGTCCGTAGCAGGCCAGGAGCCTCGACAGTTGCAACAGCAGTACAACTGTTTTGTACATTCCTTGGCCAAGTTCGATGTAGCCGAGTAGTCGTAAAAGTCGAATCCTGCATCACAAGTCCAGCGCCTCAACTTGCATCCATGCTTCGCATAGAAGACAAGCAAGCAGCTACTACTGTAGCGTAGCTTTACATATATGAAGGCTCTTGTACTGTACGATGTCCCATGTCCGATGATGTCCCATGGTCGAAGCGGCAAGGAATCTCATCACCGAGCATCGGTCCCAGGAGCTCCAGGATGCTGCGCGCGCCTTGGCCTCAAGACACAGGAAGGAACTTTCGAGGCTCGCTGGTGGGGGGGAAAAGGGAGGCGGAGGTGGGATTAGGAGGGGTTCGACGCGGCTGTGGCACATACTTCCTGTGTGGTTTTGGAGGTTTGGATTCAAGTACTTGGATTGACGTACTTTCGGCAAAGGTCGTCGCGGACTCTTACAGGGACCGTGCACTCTGAGCCTTTTTTGGCGGAGCTCCTCCCGTTTTTTGGCCTACTCTGCGCTTCCATTTGCCTTTCCGTCCGTGCATTGCTTCGGGACTAGATGTCTGCCACGGGCGCTTGCAGAGCGAGGACAGCTCCGAGAACGACAACTTGCGGCGTTCATCGTTTCTGGTGTCGTCATCGGGAGAAACCGGGATGGAAACAACTTTGACTTCCCTGATGCTGCGTGCTTGCATTCTGCGCCACACTCTTTTTGCGTTTTTTTCCATTCCGGCGCCCTCCTTCGGACCGCTTGTCCTCGTAATTTCCGGTGCCAGCCCGGTTCGGGGGCCAAGACATCCTGAATGTCATCCGTGCCGATGGTGCTCATGCGCCCGCCTCGGAAGGACCGAGCAAAATGGAAGCCAGAACGGAAGTGCCTGCAGGCTTGCAGGCTTCAGCGCTATTACGGACAAGTGGAACAGAAGTCGGAACAGAACGCCATGGAATCATGCCTTTTCCGAGCTTAGCCTTTTAATCGCTCCCTAAGTTTAGGGTTGGGTTGCTACAGCAACACTCCGAAAGGCAACGCGTGGTAGGTTGAAGGCTGTCGAGACTGTCAGAATGACCTAAGACCGAAGATGAAGCAGGGCAAATCAGTAGCGGAGCTTGCACATACTCGTGGATCCTGAGGGCTTCAATGTCAAGAACTGCTGCTAAGGATTGCAGCGGCTGTGCGAAGCCATTGATACCGAGAGCACGGGAAGGATATCTTGGGAAGATTTCGAGTCTTTTGCCTCTTGTCTTCATGCTTGTCTAAGCGGCATTCACTGCTCGCTTTTGCTGGCTTGGAGAACCGTTTCCTTGTGGCTTGAGCTGGAGCATAGTGGCTTGTGTGGCTCTTCATGGTCAGCTGTTCGCACACGTCATCAGTATCAATCGCTTTGCTGCTGTTCAATACGGTTGCTGGGGCCACCCTTCCAGGCATGTTGCATTGCACTGGTAGCTTCTGATGCTGTTTACTTGCCTAGCGGCTAGCAGCTTGATGCCAATCCCGTACTGATGTGACTGCAATAAAAGGTCTCAGATGAGTCGGCTCTGATCTACTTGGCTTCCCTTGGACTCGAGATTCACGACGCCAAAACCTTTTTCGACATGCTTGCCGGTGTGGCTTCTGACAAGTACATCGACATCGAGACTTTCGTGAAAGGTTGCTTTGAATGGTCAAATTAATGAAGTCCTGCGCCACTTAGTGGTGTTTCATCGGACCCAGCTTCAGGCTGCATGCGCATGAAGGGCCCGGCCACGAGCATCGACATGCTGTCGATGGCCTACGAAGTTGCTCGAACGCATCGTTTGCTTGCAGGAGCAGAAACACGTTGGAGAGTTCTTGCTATCTGCATTTGGCTGCACCTGGCAGCATCTGAACTCAGAGCAGATGGGTTCGGCAGTTTCGTGCCTTCCTTTTCGCACGACGCCCGCTTTTCGCGCATAGGTGCTGTAACTCAATGCCTCTCTGCACACCGGAGTGCTGGGAAGGCCTCCTTCTGTCGGGCCGGCCCATAGTTATGACGACTTTTGCAACGTTTATCGACGGAGAGAGTACTGTATGTCTTCCAATTCTCAAGGTCACACTGAGAGGTATGATGAGAGAGAGCAGTTGAGGATCCAACTTCCACACGAGCCGCGGTGTACTTGAGACTTTGAGCATCGGCTAAATCGCTCGCGACTGCGCCACAGCTGAGCTAAATGCTCTGTCACCAGATCTAGCGCGGAGATCGTGCGGCCTTCGACCGTGCACATCGGCGCACGCAACAGCGGAACTTTGGCGCAAGGCCATCGCTGAAACGGCGCTGGGGAACTCTTGTTTCTTTCTTGAACCTGGCCGGGATGATAATTCGAGGCGGGCTTTTGTCGTTGCAACGTAGTAAATACAAGCAAGATTGGGCCAATTCTGGAAGTGCAGCCGGCCGGCTGACAGAAACTGCAGCTCCAGCACATGAGCGTGCGCAGGGTTACTGGCCGACACGAGCACGCACAGGTGATGGTGGCTATATGATGCTCAATAACGGCTATCCTGCCATGCTATGCACACTTTCTTGGGTGGCTAGCACAGTGCTTCGACATAATCGCATTCTCGATCTTGCGAGGTTACTCTCATGCACCGCCAGAGCAACCGCATCGAGCGATCCCTTGCAGAGGTGCAGACGTTTCAGCACAAGGCTCGGCAGGGCAGCCTGCGCTACCCCGTCCGGGCAGTGGAGCTGGAACACTGAAGATTGGTGTGCTGTGTTTCACATTATCCGATCCGATCTTTTGTGGCGAGCCGGAAGACGCAAGCGTTTCTCCTTCGAAGTGTCTGACAGGGCTGCCCCGAAAATCGATCGATTGCTCGAAAAAGTTCTGTAGGATGCAGGACAAGTATATGTGGTCGAGCTATGTGCTTACGTTTGCACGGGTCCATGCTGGGGATCAAACTTGCGGCCCTGAGGTGGAACGCCTTCTGAACGAGCAGCCGGCACGACGTCAGCACCAGGTGTTTACCGACGTTTTCTGACTCCCTTTGAAGTACTTTTCAGCCAGCTTCGGGAGTCGAGCAGTCTCTGGCTCGCAGCATCATAAGCCTTGGTGGCACCAACCCTGTCAAAGAATGTGTATATGTTTTATGTGACGACCATATGTGGCCTTTCATGTCCTTTTCGCTCTCGTGTAGGCAAGTGGCCGAGAACGGTTCGTGCCGAATTTCGATAGATCTGTCGGCCTAAAGGATGCCGGAAACAAACAGACCCTTCCCAAAATGGCGCAGGCGTCTCCCAAGTTGTTTCCTGATCAGTTGTCGGTCAATGCAGGCCTGCTTAGTCAGCCATGTGGGAGAAGTATGCAAAATTCAGTGTATAAGTGTTCGCAGGTTTGGAGATTAGCGAGAAGCCGGTCTGCCTGGAACCTGTTCCATCTGGTGGATACCAACAGAGTTGGCCATCCAATCCGGGAGGTTCCAAACACGGGTGTTTCTGGACGTTGTACTGCCCCTCAGCCAACCGCTGTTGCCCCAAGACAATAGCCACGGCACTTTCCACCTCACCCCACCTGAGCAGCGAGTACGGAGCATGTGCACTTACTCATGAGCGCACAGGGCAGCACATACACATGCACTTACACGCACATACACACTGCCAGAGTGACACACACTCACACGTGCACACATACACACGTACGCACACACACACACACACACGCACACACACACACACCTCACACACTCACACACACACAAACATGCATACATACATACATGCATGCATGCATACATGCATACATGCATAC